TGCTAGACGATGGTCACAAACCAATACTGGACAGTGAAAATGGTAGACTAACACTAGACAGTGACAATGGACTAGTAATGGATGACAGTAGAGGGTGATTGAAAATGAATTGAAATTTCTAATATGTAGAAAGAATTTAAAATTACATTAAAATCATGTTTAAGTATAAATTTGAATTTGGATCAAATCCAAATTTATAAGTTCTCATGATTTCAAATAATAAACTTGACTCAAATTTAAATCTAAATCATATACATCCAAACATGACATTAAATTTTTATATATGATATTTCTCTACAATGCAATTAAATTAATAAATATATCTTTAAAAAATAATTTATTAATGTCATTTACTTTATCAATGTTATCTTTAAAAAGAATAAATATATCTTCAAAAAATAATTTATTAATGTTATCCACTTCATGAAAAGTGTTCTATCATTCTGGACCCACCAGTGATTAAGAAATGGGTTTTATTTTGTATAGGAGAGAGCATGCTTTAATGTAATGGAATGAGACAGGACATGATGAAAAAGTCGCAATCGCAAAACCATCACTGAACAGGGGTCACGTGTCATTCACTAGCCAGCCCAATCTTCTCATCGTTCACCGTCGACATGATACACACATGACATGGACAAACACCCACCCTCATGCACATGCACATATTCCTCCAGTCCCGTACATCAATTATCTTTTAAGAATATAATTTAATTCACTTTATAAATTACTAACTAATGTAATTATTTTTTAAATTAAAAATAAAAAAAAATTAATCTTTTAATCCCTAATTTTTTAACTTATTTGTAACTCAATCCCTCAATTATCACTCGTTGCGACTCAATTTCTCAACTTTTAATTTACCTATAATTTAGTCCTCATTTTTCATTTTTTTATTTTGTATCAAATAAGAGAGATAAAAAAAGTGCTCATATATTATTCTAAAATACCCTCTTCTTGCTCATTAATGTGAGATATAAACTAACATGAAAAAAATTAACAAAAATTCAGGGACTAATTTGTAAGTAATTTAAAAGTTGAGGGACTGAGTTATAGGTGGGTTATAGTTGAGAAATTGAGTTACAGTGAGTCATAATTGAGGGATTGAGTTATAAGTAAATTAAAAGTTAGATGACTAAAAGATTAATTTTTTTTAATTTTTAAACTATTCTTAAAAAAATAAGAGAAAGAGAGACAAAAAATAATATAATATTATTTTTTTATATTTTTTATTTAAGGATTATATTTAAAATTTTATTTTCTTTTATTTTTATATTTTTATTATATTAATATTAATAAAGTTGATAAAAATAATTTATAAATAAGACAAGGTTAATACAAATCTTCAGTGGCCTTCGAGAACGGTGGTGGGCACAATTGTACACTGCAGAATGACAAAACAGTGCATCTTGGCGCGCTCCTCTTTGCACCCTGCAATTTTCTATTATTACAATTTTCGCCCCACATCTTTTTTCAAACTCGTTTAATTACCTGCTTTGTCAATTCACTCTACCATCCCCGAGCTATATGATCCATTGTTTCGTTAGTTGAAAGAAAATATATTTTATATGTTTACTGCATAAATCCGACTCTCCCCAAGACCTCAACCACTCTCTTTGTCTGATTCCAATCCTAGCTTAGAAGGCCTTTCGACTATTGACCCTGGTTAATTTCAAACCTCAGTGGATGACCAGTCCTCAATACATGCATGTGACTAGTCTCCAGAAGACTAATTAAACTAGTATATTTGACATGTTCAGTTAGATCAATATAACATCTTAAAACTACATGCTTGGGTTATACGTAGCTGAAAAAGCAATGCCAACTACTCATTTTGTTTATTGCAACTTTGACAACTCATCATTGATCAACTGTTTCCCGTCTCGTGCGTGTTCTCTGACAAGCGAAGATGGGAAGCAAAAACTGGGCTCAACAAATTAAGCGTTCACCAGAAGCATGAAATGAAAAAAGACAAGCAGGAAACTATGAGAGTGGGAGGCAGCAAGACGGGCGATTCTTGCACCCTCAATTTGATTTCAGTTCAAGTCATCCCAACCTCCAATCAGCTAATTAAAAGCAATTACTATATGCATGTTGCATTTAATTAGTATCCCTTATAGCCCAGGATAGTATTTATTTATTGTATTTATCTCTGACGATGAACTCCTTTGTAGGTCCAGCATCAAGTCTAATCCAATAAACATCGGATTGATCATCTACTTGGGTTGTTCAAATTGGATAATAAATAGGTTGGGTACATATCATATCGAACTGGTCAAAATGTTTGACATGATCACCATAGATTTGGAATATTTTCACACTGTGCCGAGAACTATGGGGCGTTTGTCCAGGTATAGAGTCAAACAATTTATATTATTTTTATATGTTTATTTTAGCTATAATATGTTTATTTCTTTCCAATAAACTACACTTTAGCGCTATGTAGATTAGCGTGCATTAAATCCATATATGATGAATCAACGCGACTGAGTGTAATCAGGTAACTTAATTAGTTGCTCGATTTCAATCTTGTCATTGTCCTTGACACGCCCAGCTACCCTAGCATTGATGTTCAGCAGTCCGCCACCTCAACAAAGGAACGAGTATTGAATGTTTCCCTGAATCAATTTCAAGATTTGTTTGGCAATTTAAAGCTTTAAAACCTACCGGCATTGCTATCGTCTAATTGAACACGACTGATCAGCAACCACCGGGGGAAAATTAAAGAGAGAGGAATGGATTGCGCATGTACAGCTCTTTTTGCAATTTGATTGCTCATATAAGGATCAAATCTGTACTTGGAGTCAATCACGACTCACGATGCGGCAGATTGTGATTAAAAATTAACCCCAGTCACGCACCACGTAAAACATGACAATATGACATGAATAGTGCAAGGGAGTGATATAGAAAATATATTCTCCGTTGATAATATTCCCCTTCTGTTTTGAAACCTCTTTGTATCAATAGATCAACTCATGGCCAATAAGTGGTCTAAAAATCAGGACACAAATAAAATAACCGATGGCAACGGATTTCTTATCCACCGTTCACGCACTTGGTAAACTCGCTTTACACGGTGTTTCAAAAAAACGCAAAATTTCCTCCGACTTATTGTGCGTGGAATAAGGATACAGGTCTCGACTCTCGACTAGGTGCGTGTATACATCTTTTTACTTTATCCTTTGTTCCCATTTTGTCCTATAAAAATAAGATAGCCCCGTGTCCTTTTATCCCATGGAAGAGAGATATTCAGAACCTTCCTTCTCAATATCCTGCCAACTTTACCGCCACAATGGCAATCAAAGGGTGGTGGCTTAGCAGGATCCAGAAGCAGAAGCAGCATTATATTAGTACGGAACTTGAGGCATCCGAGATTCCAATCGTGAGCGACAAGATAAAAAACACTTGGGAGTTTTGCCGGTGGAAGAACCTGTTTTCATTTGTAAATTTTGAACCAATCCCGTGACCCATCACTCATGTGATCACTGTCTGTTACTCAGGAAAAAAACAAAACAAAACAAGAATTATAATAAGCAGACCTGCTTTGGATTTTAATACTGCACTTAGGCTCAGCGTTCCTATTTTAAGAGGGAAAGGCGGTCAATTCACGCACCCACCCACATAACTGCTCATCCTATTCTCAGCACCCCCTCTCTTATTATTTGCATTCAAGTTAAAATTACTAGCCTCCCAAAGTTTCCAATAACATGAATTACACCGCAGGTCACAAGTAATTTCATATTTTTACTCTGAGTTGCAGTTGCAAGCTTCCCCTAATTTTGGCAGGAAATGTTTATATTACAAACAAAATTTGACAAAGACTGGCCTTCCCCACTTGAATTTTTTCTGGGCGGCAACACTTCAAATTAACTTTATTCTGTCAAGGGTACAGCTTTTCATCCACTCCAAGAGGATAATAACAGTTCGGGCAAGAACGGCACCAAGCAGCGCTAGTCCACTTTTGGGGCTCTCAACAAGTGGGCCGTATTTGAAGTTGCTCTTTGGATCACTTTTTGTTAACCCATTTCCCTGATATAATTTTTTATTTTCCGCCCACATAGTTCATGTTCATCCATAACAATATCATGGCGTGATAAATAATTATTGTTCTCCCACCATCAAAAATATACAGCAGAGAACAAAATTTCCTGAACACTGAACCTCTCTCTCTCTCACGCACACACTGTATACTTTCTAATTAATTATTAACTGCAGTTTCCAGTCCCAAAAACAAAAAAAAAAATCAGACAATTGTTTGAGATAGACTGCTAAATGGAATTGCATTCGGTATCATGTCCCCATCAAAGCCAGGAGCAGTTCTAACCTTTTATTTTGGTTCAAATTGATCCCTAACATTTATTTAAATTAATTTTTTAATTTTATATTTATTAATATAAAAAATTTAAATTTTTTAAATTCTAATAAATCTATTTATGATCAATCTGATCAGTACGGATTTAATCTAACAGTTCAATTTAATATTAAAAATTTTTATAATTTTAAAGTTTGATTATCCAAATAAACTCTAAAAAGTTCAAATATTATCTAAATGACCTAATTTGATATTAAAAAAAATTATAAATTTTACAAATTAACCATTTAAATATGTTCTAAATACTGTAGATTTAATATTAATTTTTTTATATTTTAAATTTTAATAAATATAATACTAAAAATTAATTTAACTGGACCACAAAGATTATTTTAAACCAAAATGAAGGACCAAGATTTGATGAAATGAGCACTGAATGCGGAGCCAATGCCATATGGCTGAATTATCCTGTGGAACCAAGAATAACGCTAAATCAAGGAGATCGTCCGTGTCACCATTTCTCAAACTAGAACCTTTATACATACCATAAAACTGTAATAAAATTAAAAAATATGATAAAAATTGTCATTATTAAAAAGGAGAAGCCAAACACTGCATCTGCATAGATCTTTAATAAAACTATTGGGAGCGCGTCATCCGAAATGTGTGGACCCTGATTCCCCCCCCCCCCTTCTGAGGTTTGCTTTCCTCTCAACTATCTACACATCTTTCCCGGATAAGCCTTCAACTCCACACAGTCGCCAATTTTGCTGGTTTTCCAAACAACTATAAACCTTCTCTTTCAACATCGTTACTTTTCCAATCATTGCTTGAACATATTTATGGTCTGAATAGAAATTCAATGCCATCAGCTTCTCATTCTACGCCATCCAACTCCACGAAAATGATTCTTGTTCACCACTTCTCGTCTGCCACCATGCCGCTAGTCTAAATTCCTCGGGTTTCAAGTTTCAACCATTTTCTACGACTTCAAATTGAGAAACTCAGAGCGAGAAGGCTATGTCTGCGATAGCTGCTTGTTCACATATAATCTGCAGAGAGAATTACCAGCATCAGAGGTTGATCAGTAGCGGAGGAACTAATTTGTTCTCGTTGAAGAGTTCAGCTTGGACTGGTTGGATTGAACGCAGAAAGAGAGAAACAGAAGGGAAGAGGATAGGAAAGAGGAATGTGCGGGTAAAAGCGCTTTGGCCGGATTTGTCAAGACCTGCTGTACTTGAGATGGAATCCATCACAGATGCTGATCATCTCGACCGAATTCTTCAAAGCGCTCAGCAAAATTCACAGCCCATTCTGATCGATTGGTATTTCCTTTTCTCAATTCTTATCTTTTCCTACCGTGATACCCTATCGGCGGTATCACTGTCAGTTTCATCTGACAGATATTTTGGCTTGCGTATCGTTTGCAAAGTTCCTGATGTCGTTTACCTATTGTGGTTGGGTGGCTTAATAATTAACTAGAGCCATTGTTACTTTATTTTTGGGGATAGGATGGCTGCTTGGTGCAGGAAATGCATATATTTGAAGCCCAAGTTGGAAAAGCTGGCCGCCGAGTATCACAACAAGTGAGCCTTGTTTCAGGACTTGCTCTCTGTGAAATGAATTTCCTGCAATATGAGTCAGTCTCTAATAATTAAATGCATAGTGCTAAGCTTGTCGTTATGGTGGCTGACAGGCTAAAATTTTATTGCGTGGATGTGAATAAAGTGCCCCAATCGCTAGTCAAGCGTGGCAACATCTCTGTAAGCCTCCAAGTTTCTTCCTTTTTTAATTTTCTGTCTGACTGATTGCATGTGGCTTTGCCTGTCTTAAGCAAAGTTTGATTGGTTTCTTTCTTCCTGCCAGAAAATGCCAACAATTCAGGTGCGTCATTTACCATATCAATGTCTCTCACACACAGACACAAAGATGGTAGAGTGAGTAGTGTAGGGAGTGTGGAATTAATGGGTGAATGTGTTGCAGCTATGGAAAGACGGAGAGATGAAAGCGGAAGTTATTGGTGGGCACAAGGCCTGGATGGTGATTGAAGAAGTGAGAGAAATGATCCAAAAGTTCATATAAAGATATATACATCATTCGCACTCCTCTTCATCTACTCCCAAAGAAAACAGTATTCCTGTAATGCCCACGATTGCTTTTCTATATGTCAATGTCATGAAGCTGTGTATATCCATGATAAGCCTTGCAATAGCACGAAAATTTGAAGGGCGAAAGACAGTTCCTATGGACAATTGGGATCGGTGAATTTTCACTGATTTATTATATTATAAACTATTGCGTCAAGTATCAACAATAAGTCGCTTTGGCCGAGTGGTTAAGGCGTGTGCCTGCTAAGTACATGGGGTTTCCCCGCCAGAGTTCGAATCTCTCAGGCGACGTGTTTTTACATTTTTTTTCAAATTTTCATGAACGTTTAATATCAGTTTCCAGTAATTTGTTTTCTATTATCACTTTTCTGAACATTCTCCAATCACACCAGGGGAGAGAGAGTAAGACGGATGACAAAACACGATGACTAGACCAACAATGTCGGAGGCCGAAAAGAAAGCTAGGATTGAAAGCAGAAACACGCAAGAAAAATTAAAAACAAAGAAATTCGAAACCGAATATTCATTACTCAACGACAGAGGACGAAAAATTCATTGGCAAATGAAAATGATGGGAAAAAATTCATTGGATTAATTGAAAAACCACAAGCATTCTTTGATCTAAAGATGCTGTAGGATTCCAATTTCAACGCGTTGCGTTGGGGGCCCGTGGATAATAAACATTTCCTAGTTTGAATTCTAAAGGGTATGCACTATCCACAAAACATTGTTAAACAAATCAATCCTTGAAATGATCAAACGTCATTCACAAGTTCGGGAGTAGTGGATTGTGAGTTGCACACAGACACAGGTTATCCTATTTTTTCTCGGATACGAACGCACGTTTTATGCATGTTTAGTTGTCTAATATCCACAAGCGAAATAGTTTGTCAATCTAATTTTCGAGGACGAGCTAAATCTTACTTCAGAAGGACGTCTTTCTGATTAGATCAACGTAATAAAACGAAATTGCAAACGCCTTAGCTGCCACAGCTAGTATTGAATCATTAATTGCAGTTGCATTTCCAGTCCCAGAGAATCTCATCTAAACCAAACGGAAATTCACCAAGACTAAGTTAACCAAACAGGAGACCGTTTGCATTGCAGAAGAAAATAATTTTCATAGACTCTACCAGCATTAACCAGGATTATCGTAGTTCACAATATCCCATGCCAATCCATTCACTCCTTATTGAATGGAGCAGAATCCTTGATCTTTAAAAAAGGAAAAAAAATAATAGGAACACAGAAACACAATGGAATAATGCTAAATTCCAAAGCCGAAGACAGTCTTTATCCTTTGAAAAATGAGATCCCGCCATCCTCTCTCAGTGTTCTCCACCACAGTGGCGTTGCCATATCTGCATTTCCAAGGAGTCGGTTGAGATCCAAGAAATTTGATAGAAAAATCCATAAACGGAGGCCATGTTTTCAATTGCTCACCTATCTTCAATTGGAACATCAGTGTGTGTCAGCTTGATAATTGTCACTCCCGGTTCAGGCTCCTCAAACACAAGTCTTACCTGCAACATCATCGACACTCAATCATATGACAACTAGCCCACATTTGAATCCTATGAGTGCAAAAGACATAGAAAAACTTACCAGAGACTGCATACCATCCGGCCAGCTCTCAAACCTCCATTTTTGCACAATGAATTTAGCTTCCTGCAACTCCACATTAGTTCCTTTCACGGACCCATCAAAAATGCTAAACTCTCCACCGACTTCTTTACTTATCCTTGCATTGCTCTGCGTGAAACCTTTCCACCTATTCTCATCCATCAATATCTCATACAAATCGCTTGCCCTGCAGTTCAATCTCTCCGTCAAGCTAATTGTTTTACACCCCTTCTTACTTTCTTTCTTCACTTCATGATTCTCCACCGCGTTCTCATTCTTTGCCGGAGCCGCGGCGAGGGATGAAGCATTATTCGGAGGCGCCACTTTCTTCTTCTCCAGGCTGTCTTGGACAGGTCCTCCTTTCGCCATACTCTGTACCCAAACCTTAACTTTCTCCAAAATCAAAGGCTTCCCTTTGGAAACCATTGCCTCTTTCAGCCTCTTTCCGATGGGTCCTTCGTCCTTGACAGTGACCTTGACCTCGGGGTCTTCATCTGCATTCTCGTCGGATATATAAGGGATCTCCACTGTACCATTGACCTTGAGCAAGGATTTGCCTTCGGAATCTTTAGCTTCTCCTTCCCAAGACAAGGTGAGGCTGATCTCGTAACCGGGAATGATTTTGCCCTTGCGAATGTTGACGTACGCCTCACCATCGAGCCTGTCGACTTTCTTGGTCTTGATGAACAAATCGGCGTCGCCGTTAAGAAGGACAAGGTTGGAAAGGAGATTGTTAAAGAAGCTGCGAGACCATTCGAGACAGTCAGTTTCGGCCCAGTGCCAATTGTGAACGTTGGTGCCATCAAGCCTCTCCTCCACGATCCAGCGCTTGTCTCCCTCGCCGTATCTAGCCATGGAAGAAGAAGCTACGTGGAAGCGAATATGCGAGATGAAAGATCTGAGAGAAAGAAGGAAGAAATAGGGAGGCGGAAGAGGAGGCTGAATCTGGGCTGTTCGGACCACTTCGGAGGGAGGAAGGGTCTAGAATTAAACAACGCAGAAACAAGTGATGAAGCTTCTCATAAATCCCACCCGTTGACTAGGGAGACCATGGAAAAGTCTAGAAGACCTCGAATTCATTCATTGCCGAAATTAGGGGTTTGACAGGCCAAGAGCCAGAAGCCTGAAACCCCTGGGCCCCTCATACTCCTAGTTTTAACCTTGAGATCGTGCCGAATTGTTGATCTCCTTGTTAACTTGTTTTTTCATCTTCTGGTTTTTGATCCGGTTCCAATCGAAAAAACCATGATGGGGCTGGCGTAACGGTCCTGCGTTATTTCTGTTTCAATTTTTAAACCCCTTCCCTTTGGGGGAATGACATATAGATCCCAATACATGCATTTAATTTCAATAAAATTTTAAGAAATTTCAAAACACTAATAAAAACCCAAGGTCCTTAAGGAGGATTATATGAACAAAATCAATTTACCTAAATATCCTTGTTCAATTTTTTAAAATATCATTCTTCTTCCTCCCGTTCATTCACATCTCAAAGTTTGAAACCAAAATTGAGAACCCATGGAAGGCGCAAGTCTTACCTGCAACCCCTATTGTCAAGGCTGATTTATCGATGGCGCAATCCTTTGGCCAAGGACTTCGCTACAAAATTACAAAGAGGCTCGCATCCTCGTAGTTTGCTTTGAGATTGCTACTATCACATTCTGCAAACCTAAGCGACACTTACCTAGACAACCTTATGGGTTAAGCTCTCTTCGGAGATGCTGTGGTTGCCATCATAGTTGGCTCCAGCCCAGTCTTTATAGAGAAGCCTCTATTTAAGCTAGTATAGAAGTCATAATTTACTCTATCATCATAGTCCCTGTGAACTTTGGTTGATGTTTTTATAATTTGAAATTAGATCAACTTGGACTTAGTTGACATATATATATATATATATATATATTGTTTTTTCAAACATTAACCAAAGTTCATAGGGACTATGAGGACGGAGCCAATTATGACTTCTATACTAGTTCAAATAGAGGCTTTTCCACGGGGATTGGGTTGGAGCCAACTATGACTTTTATATTAGCTCAAATAGAGGCTTCTCCATGGGGATTGGGTCGGAGCCAACTATGATGGCAACCACATCATCTCCGAAAAGGGCTTGGCCCATAAGGTTGTCAAGGTAAGTGTCGCTAGGTCTGCGAAATGTGACAATAACAATCTCAGAGCAAATTATGAGGATGCAAGCCTCTCTGTGATTTTTTAGTGAAGTTCTTGGCCAAAGGATTGTGCCATCGATAAAGCAGCCTTGAGAGTGGGTTTTACAGGTAAGACCTGCGCCTTCATGGGTTCTCGATTTTGGTTTCAGACTTTGAGATATGAATGAACGGGAGGAAGGAGAATGATATTTTGGGAAAATAAACAAGGATATCTTGGTAAATTAATTTTGTTCATATAATCCTCCTTGAGGACCTTAGGACTTTACTAGTGCTTTGGAATTTCTTGGGACTTTATTAGGATTAGATGCATGTCTTGGGACCTAATTGTCATTCCCCCTTTCCATTTGACTATCTCCGAACAATAGAAAATTGTAAAAATGTCATTTTAATAAAACATATATAGAGGAGAAAAATCTTCCTATAGAAAAGAGGCTGGGATACTCATTTAAGAATTGAGAGTACACGTGGGGGTTAAGAATAGGAATAATATCAATCAAGGATTAATATCAGCCAAACATGTTTATATCAAAGATGAATAGATTCTAAAAATTTTACTGCAGTCTCTTAATCTTTAACTAATATTAATTTTTATGTGAAACGACCAACTTGCTCCTGAGATATAAAATGAAAAAAAAAAAGTTACCCTCACTATCACTGGCACTGACCATAAGAAACCTTGACGCCAATAAGGTTGCTTGGGCCCTTGCCACTAACAAGATCACCAATGGCCAATCACAGGAGCTTCAAAGTTATTGGTGCCTTTTTCAAAAAAATTGAAAAATGTGGTCAGAAAGGGTTTGATCCTATAACTTTATGACCACCAAATAAACTTGGTAGCCTCCAAGCCACCAAATCCATTTAATTATATATGGTAAATGTGCGCACGTGCGCGCATTTATGGCCATACAAGTTTCTAAACCACTTTCATGTCATAATATAACAATGTGTTATTAATTTTAGAATGACATTTGCTATTTTACTAATGTTACTTATTAATCTATCATGGTTGATTACAAATTAAGAGTTTTAAAACTTTATGTATTTTACTTATTAAAATTTGTATATATTGTTGTTAATCACAAAATAGTTGTTGTTAAAATATGAATAAATACTTGTTGATGAATAATTGACACTCATATAATGAAGCCCATCTTATCAACTTTTTATAAAAACCTGAATAGATTATTGTTAATTTTGAAAACGTTATTGTTAAAATTTAAATGGATACTTATTGATAAGGAGCAAACATTTATACAATTAAACCTATCTTATCTATTTTTTTAACTTATTAAAACTTGAATGAAATGTTATTAATTACAAATGCACTATTGTGAAACTTTAATGGATACTTGTTATTGATGATTGAAAGCACAAGTCTAATGGAAAAGGTGTATAAACAATAAGCCATCCAATTTTTTACAATAATGCATTCAAAATTAATAACGATCCATTCAAAATTTAACAATTTAGAAAAAAATGAATAGGATGGGTTTAATTGTATATGTGTTAGTCTTTCATCAACAAATATCGATTCAAGTTTCGACAATAACTCATCTGAAATTAATAATAATTTATTTGAGTTTTGACAAGTTAAAAAATTGACAAAATGAGCTTATTTGTATTAGTGTTAGTCTTTTATCAATAAGTATCTACTTGGATTTTTACAACAACTTATTTTGAAATTAACAACAAACTATTTGAGCTTTAATAAGTTAGAAAAAATAATAAGATGAACTTAATTATACAAATTTTAGTTATTTATCAACAAATATTCACTTAAATTTTGACAATAACTCAATCGAAATTAACAACAATTTTGCCTTTAATAAGTTAGAAAAACTGAGGATGGGTTTAATTGTACAAACGTTAGTCCTTTATCAATAAGTATCAATTTTGATTTTCACAACAATATATTTGAAATTAATAATAATTCAGTTTAATAAGTTAGAAAATGAATAGAATGAGCTTATTCGTACAAGTGTTATTCTTTTATCAAATTGTATCTTTTCAAATTTTAACAATAATTCTTTCAAAATCAACAGTAATTCATTTGTATTTTAACAAAAAGCTAATAGGATATGTTTAATTGTTCAAGTATTAGTCATTTATTAATAAGTATCCATTCACGTCTTGACAACACCAATTTTGTGGTTAGCAACAATACATTCAAACTTTAACGAGTAAAATGTATGAAGTTTTAAAACTTTCAATTTGTAATTGATTATATTAGATTGACAAGTAATATTTGTAACACACCAAAATTTTTTTTTAAATAATTTAACTCAACCATAGTTAGGTTACAACCATCCAACACATTCTTATATCAATAATTTCAATATAAAATATTTTATAATTGGCTTCAACTCACACACTATAACATTTCAGATAAATTTTTACCTCCCACATGCTATTAGGCTAAATCACATTTGTCCATTCTTATACTCCCAACAAGTAAATTAAATCACATTTGTCCATCCTTATACTTCCAACAAGTAAAATAAGCAATTTAATCAATTTTCAACACAAGCCAGTTATTTGGCCTTATAATCATGCCATTTTAACCAATCCAAAATAAACCAAATATTAAAATTACAGTCATTCAAATTGTACCAAAAATAGAAATAGTTTGAAAGGCATGATTACATTTATATATTCATATAATTGACAATAAACAAAAAGCCCTAATATTGGCAATATAACATATTATAAATTATAAATTAAATACTCAAAAAAGACAGTGAATTTATACCACTAAGCCTCTGGGACTCCTCCACGTGTCACTCGTGGCTCTTCTCCTGAAAATTGTTAACCACATAAGGAGACTCAAAAATCCCAGTAACCAAAGCCAATTTATGATAGTGTATTCAAACAGTTAAGTGTGTACTTACTAAGTGAGAATTAAAAAAAAATAATTCCAACAAATATAAGAAATATTGTAATACACACAAACAACCATCCTTATATCCCTCAATTAACCTTGAGCCGTAGCCCTCACTCAGTGCTAAATTACCCGGCCAAAGGTAGATTAGCTCGAGTCCTTACAAGTCACATATTGAGCTCCAATAGGGGCGTACCACGTGGCACATAAATAGAACAATAATAGCAAGTCTCCCAACACCTCCCACAATAAGAAACAAATTCATAATAATTACACAATTATACAATATTACAAAATTCAAATTTTCTCAATAATCACCCAATTAACATGAAGTAACACGAATCACAAATTAAAAGCATGGTTACCTCGGGCTTTTTCAATAAATTATTCCTTAAAATTTCTTTCTCACCACAATCTTTACCAGTAATACAATCTACAAATAACATATTATTTATAAATATTAGTTTCAATTTTTGAAACTAATAAAATAATTCTAATAATAGAATTAAAAATATAACATAATTTCTAATATCAATCTTAATACAAATCGAAAGTTAATACTATTAAGTAAAATTTTTAACTCCTCTTTTAATTATCAATAAACATTAATAATCTAAAAATCAACTTCTAAACTAATTTCTATTATCAAAATTTTCTTTTTATTTCATAAATTCGTACCTAAAATATTCAAAAATTAAAAATTGAGTCTCTAGCTTAGAATCATAATCCTATAACCATAATAATTCATTTCTCATCCCAAATAATCATCTAAACCTCAATAAGTCAACATATATTTTTAGATCTAGTTTAGAATTTGATCCATAAGCCACAAATTCAAAGATCATCAGTAAATTTATACTTTAGAACATTTATTATACTACTGACAATCTCAAAAACCATATTTATTCAACATAAATTCATCCCTCTTCCAGATCTTAAATTTTCTACCACTACAAACTCAGAAACCAAAGAAGAATGATGACTAAAAAATTTTTTTAGAACACTTAGTCTTGAAAAGCTTAAAATCACACCCTAAATATCCTATTAAAAACTCTTACCTTA